TCAATCTCGGACAATGCAAAAAAACTGTTGAGGAACATAGGTGAGTCAGCTATTTATATATCAGCCTCCTCTCATGCTGATTGTGTAGATCATTTGAACGTGTTCCTCCTGAACTTTGTTAATAAAACATCATTTAAAAACAAAGACTCTGCATCTTAGCATGCTTTGAGTTACTTTTCAGAATACTTACTAGTCAAATTTGCACTAAACATGCCACTTGATGATATTACAAAGAAACATTAATGACTTTCAATTTATGTATTTAGGATTTAAAACAACAACAACAATTTAAACTAACATAAATAAACCGAAAGATTCTGAAAGACAGGTTTGTATATTCTTTCGGATCTTGAGCTGTTATCATTTCAATCATACTTTACCCTGGAAACAGGTGATGTTGCAGCATCTGAATTTTTTTTTTTTTGAGAAGGAACTAAAGATCAGTTATCACCTTTGAGCATGTGTGAGCTATTGTCAGTGATTGGCTTAAAAAGGGCTATGTCATTTAGTACAACTGAAAAATATAATTGAGAAGATAAAATCCCTGGCCTAACAAAAAATAGCTATGCCACAGAAATATTGATCCACAATGAGAGTTGTACACTGAATAAAGTGAATATAGTAATATGAAAACAGGTGTTTCGTCTCATCGCTGTTACAATATCATCATTGACCAATTAGTAGTTGCAACTGTTACTATTAATTTTGTAATGAAAACTATTGTGCATTCAATTCATATCAGAGCAATCTTATTTATGAGCCGAGGGCACATGAACACCACTAAGTCATAATGACCAGTGGGATATGAATTTCTCTAAGCTCTGACTTTCTGAGTTGTGGCCATTGTCAATTTAACACTTACAGCTCAAGCAAATAGTTACTGATCAAGTTGTTTGTGCAGCTACTGGGAATCCTGCATTACTGCAGTGGTCATTGAGGGCTGAGGTGTAACTCTGTTAGTCACCAGCTTTATCTATTCTCCAAACATCTTGTCCTATGTACAGTCAAGGAGATCGCAGACAGATGGCCAGTTCATAACATACACATTCACATACCTACAGGTAATATTGAGTCTCCAATTCACCTGTTCTGTAAGTCCTTGTATCGTGGAGGAAACCAGAGCACCCAGAGAAAACCCACAGAGAACATGCAAACTCAATGCAGATTAGTATTGTTTCAAACAAATCCTGGACATTTTTTTATGTTGTCTTACCCTTACGAAAAATAAGTTTATTCAAGTGTGCTATTAGTATAACGGTAGGGGGCGCTAGTACACATCTTCTGTACAGAATTTCCAAAAAACACAAGTGAAGAAGAAACCGAAACAACAGATGCTTCTAACGTACATGTATTCTAACACGATCATCAGACATAAAACAGCACCAAAACTATGTAACATTATGGAATAAAATGTCGACCCATGAAGAGGTAATAATAACTGTCAAGCTTTGGGGTGTTGATCGACTTTATCTACGTTTTTTCACTTTTAGTATAGTTGCAGTACAAACTAAACATTTTGATGTAAACTAGTTGTGTACTCAAAGTTTACTACTGTTATACTTAAAGTATACTTAAATGTATACATTTATATACTAGAAAGTGGGCCAATTTAGTCCCAAGGAGTATTGAAATAGTACACTTACAAGTATACTACTAGTACACTGATATTTGTATACTTACTACATAAAGTTTACTTAAAAATATACTTGAACTTTACTTAAGTATACTTACTAAAATAAACTTGAAGTATACTACTTTTTGGTAAGGGTATTTTGAGGTCTCATCTCTCTTCTCACACACACAAGTATGCACATGTCTGGTTCTTTAAAATGTTTTTATACTCAAGAGTAATCCATGATTACTGCATACTGTTTGTGTGAAATGTACATTTGCATGTATACTATCAAGCAAATTACAAAACAATACAAAATTAAATAAATACAACTATATATTGAAAAGTCATACATATAAAGTAAACTATAGTGGTAGCTGGTTGTTCATATATTGAACAAACTTGTGTAAATGTGAAAATGGAAAAAAAAAAGATTTGCCAAGATACAAGAATATCAGACTGAGGGATGATTTTGATTGGTTGAGGATTATGAGGCTGCCACATGAGCCATAAGGCGGAGTAAAGACCTGCTATCATCAAACAAAAAAGAGTTTGTGTAATGTTTGTCCCATTCAGCTCAGAGAAAGATGGAGCTCTGTGTATTTATGTTCATGCTTGCTGCGCTTGTTTCTTCTGAGAACAAAGGTAAGTCAGTGGATTATCACTAATAATTTGTTAAAAGACACAATTTTTATCATTAACTGTATTCAAGGAATACTGATATGGAATATACGTCCTGAAAGGTTAAATCATTGCCATGAAAATATTTGTTTTGTATTAATATTAGATTTTTTTTAAATAATATCATAATATTCTGTAATCAGACAAGGCCGAGACAGAAAAATCTAATTTCAAAAATTGTAAGCAGTTTATGCTTCTGTCATTTTAATTAATAAAAATTAAGCAATTATTGTCAAAAATCATGCAAAATCAATGGTATAAATACATCTCATATTCAAACAGTCCTATATTTAAATTTCTCATGTAGTTTGTCTAGACTGATAATGTACTGTTATATTAAGCAAATACTTTTTTCTTGTTTCAGTTGTGTATGAAGATTTCACTTTATTGGGATGCTCTGATACAGAGAAAGAATATATGTTTGGATTGGATGGAGAGGAATTGTACCATGCAGACTTCATTAAAGAAGTAGCAGTAGCTACTCTACCTGACTTTGCAGATCCCATCGGCTATCCTGGATTTTATGAGCAAGGCTTATCTAATGTGCAAGTTTGCAAAGCAAACTTAGCCGTAGCTATCAAAGCTTATAAAAATCCACAAGAGAAAATGGGTAGGATATGCATTTTAATTATATTTATTCAATTGTGTGTAACAACTGTGTAACAATTTGGTTTAACAAATGGTTTAATTCTAAATTTGGTTTAAACTAATTTTATCTCAAATGCTTGAAATAATGACAGCATCCATGTCTTTGCCTGTGTTATCAGACAAACCTCAGACTTTTATCTATGCTAAGGATGATGTGCAGCTGAATGCTGAAAACACCCTCATCTGTCATGTGACTGGATTCTTTCCGCCACCTGTCAGAGTCTCATGGACTAAAAACAATGAGGCTTTAAAAGAAGACAGTCTAAGTCAGTATCGCCCAAATGATGATGGCACTTACAACATCTTCTCCAGTCTGCCGTTCACACCTGAAGAGGGAGACATTTACAGCTGCACTGTGAACCACGTAGCTCTCGATCAACCTCAGACCAAAACATGGGGTGAGTGTGGTTTTATAGAATCACTGGACTTACAGATTTCTATTATTTCTCATATTTATTGATTTCTAATATGTATTATTTATTACTTATTATTTTCTATAAATAATGAATACAAATATGTATATATTCAAATAAAATTGATTATTGATGTGAAAGAAGAGTAGCAGCCTAAAATATACAATTTACATTGTGGAGATATAACATTAATAAAGTCTACATTATTAAAAATGCTTAAACAAAATGTCTGTATCTGTGTGTACCTTAGAAGTGGACGTTGCTGTGCCTGGTGTTGGTCCAGCTGTGTTCTGTGGAGTGGGTCTGTCTCTTGGACTGCTGGGAGTCGCTGCTGGAACTTTCTTCCTGATTAAAGGAAACAACTGCAACTGACATCCCAGATATGGAAGCAAACTTTAAAAAAATAAATTGTATATAGTGTGTAACAGGTCCGGCAAATAAAGCCAGTTTCATTTGGCTCCAATGAAATTTAAAACAGTAATTCTGAGCATCATTCTGTCACTCATCACATTGGTGACAGAAAACATCTTAGATGTTATATAGAAATAGATTCATAGACACATAAATTTCAATATAATCTTTAACAACATTAATAATGCCTGATATTTCTAATAATGCACCAATGAGGCAACATCGTTGTTTGAAATGTAACACCATATACACTTACATACAGATGTCTAAAAGGCTTTAAATAATAGATTATCTTTTTGCTAATACATCTTATTTTCAGCTCATCCAGAGTGATATTGGACTTTTAATTTGAATAATTTTATCTGTTAGTTACTCTCTGGTTGAGCTCTTATTATCTTTCTCATTGCTGGATCAATTCAAGTCTTTTTCAACAAACATTATGGCAGTCTTAAAAATGTTGGTACTATGTGCTTGAAAATAGGGTAGAAACAATTTTTACATTTTGGAATTTCCTGTCATTGTAATCAATTTGAAGTTATCAATTTTACAAGGTCTTGTAAGTTTTCTGACATACACTCCAAATAAAGATTCTCTGTTTTGATTTCACTTGTGATTTTATATTGTGTTGTCATCTATATAACTGTTCCAAGGCAAAGTAACCTCAAAAGCCTATTAGATGGACAGATGGCTGTATGTGTTGAAAGACAGAGGAACAGACGAGAATAGAATAGACCAGAGGATCAAAAATATGATATTTTAGAATGACCTACAGAAATACTGTAGCCAATATCTACATGTATGCTTTTGGCCGACGCTTTTATCCAAAGTGACAAAGATTTTGTCATTGTTAGCACTATGCTCTTCTGTTTGAGCTACAGGAAGGCTAAGTTTCTCTAGAAATAGTTTAGATCTCTTCATTAAAAATACAAAATAGTGATGATAATAGTGATAATACAGGGAGTTAACTAAGGTTGGGGCCACACCTCAACCAATCACAATGGTGTACATTGATAACTAAATCTTCAATAAAGATGTGTTCATACAGTTCAACAGCACTGTAGGGGAGTATGTGGGGTACACTGAACTTGTTGAAGAAAACAGTCATTGTGTAACTGGCTTTAGCTCTAAAATAAAACAGGATACTGCTTAGCAACAGTTGACACTTTTATGTGTAGAGGCTGATTGGCTGGTTGTTTTAGATATTCACCTCATGAACAAAGTATTGCAGGACTCCTCTTCAGTTGGGACAGTCACAGTGAGAGAAAATGTCACTGCCGAAGGTCTTGTGTTTTCATCTCATACTGATGCTGTCTGCATTCACTGGAGCAGGTAAATAAAATTAAGCGTCATGTAAAATGAGTAGATATGTATTGACAGTAACATTCTTCATGATGAATTATTATTGTTAGTAGAAGTAGTAGTAAACAAGACAGTTCACTAATACTGTAACCAACTAATGTATCTAGGTCCTTCTGTTTTTCTATAGTTGACATGAGTTCATCTGACATAAATGTAATGCTGTTTTAACATTTCTTTTCAGCTAATGGATACTACTATTCTCGGTGGGCTAAATGCATCTTCAGCTCCAGTGATCTCAGTGACATGGTGTTCGTTGATAACTATATCTTCAATAAAGATGTGTACATACAGTTCAACAGCACTGTGGGGGAGTATGTGGGGTACACTGCACATGGAGTATATAACGCAGAGTTATGGAACAAAGATCCCAACCAGCTGCAGCAAGAGAGAGCTGATGTGGACAGATACTGCAAACATAATGCTGAAATTTATTACAGTGCCATTTTAAACAAAGCAGGTAAGTGGCACAAGATTCAGATCTCTCCTGTTACACATGAAACTCTTGTTTTAAATGTTTACACTAGATACTTTTACACGACAGTTTGATAATTTTATAGATTTTTTAAAAACTTCAACTGACAGTCTTCAACTTTTTAACTGACATTTTAAAATGTCACAAGATTTAAAAAAACAAAAACAAATGATTGCTTTAATTTTTGTTTGCCCTTAGAAATACACTCCCAAACACAAAAATACAATAATATTTATGAAACTTTATAGTACACCTTGCATGTAATCACAATATTTATTGTGGGATGTGCCCTTAAGATGTTATTGTTATTGATAACTTCCGAAAAATTTACTCAGTCTGTGTGCATTGAATTTATTTAATACACGAGTTTCACAATTTGAGTTGAATTACTGAAATTAACTTTTCCATGACATTCTAATTTATTAAGATGCACCTGTATATCAGGCCACCCCTTACAGAACTGTTTGTCTCATTCTCTCCGAACCCACCCTTTATCTCCCTCTCATCCATTCAACCATCATTCCCATCCCCTCTTCTCTTCCCTTCCAGGTTGCATCAGGGGTCCTAATCGCTTGGCCTTCATATAACTGAGATGATCCCCAAGCCACTAACACTAGATGCCCAGATCAAACTGACTATCGTCCTATTTCCCCTTCATCCTCTCCCTATTCATTCCTAACATTCTATTCAATATATTAATTCTTCAACATTCATGGTTTTGGCATGGACTTTGCTTGTGAATAAGACATTAATAAAGTAATAATGAAAAATAAATTATTACACTAACAGTTTAAAGAAGTGCTGTGCATTTATTCTTTTTTTTACCCAATTGATTTTAAACCTTTCTTCAAACTCTTGTCAATGCTCTCTAGACAACATATTCAGCTATATATATATATATAAAGATTTTATTAATTACAATCAAATTCCAAATTACATACACCAGTTTCACAAAACACTGCACAGAAAAATCTCCAATGTTTTAAAACATGTAATACAGCCAACCTACCAACAAAAAAAAAAGCAGAGGAAGAGTGAAGGTGATAGAAAGAGAAGAAATATGTAGGACTGAGGAGTACTGACATACAGAAATATAGTCTTGAAGAGTATAGAGTATTGAAATATACAGAAAAACTTTTTTCTTTTAAATGTCCCAAACTTCAAAAGAGGACACTTAGCGTACAGTATAAAACATCCACATAACTCCTCAGTGAAGAACTTTGTGATGAACATGAATTTTCTTCATTGTATTTGTGCATCTGCAGCTGTCATTAGGTAGTGAAATTGAATCTTTCATCAAAATTTAGAGTCTGTTTCATTGCCCGTGTTATTTTTTTTTAGACCATGAGCCATATGTATAAATCAGCTGAAAAAAACAAAACAAAAAAAAAGACCTAAAGCAGCTTGCTGTCATATAAAGAAGAATGTACTGGAAACAATGTTAAATCCTATGAGATACAGGTAGCCCTTACCAAAAAGAAGTATACTTCAAGTTTATTTTATTAAGTATACTTAAGTAAAGTTCAAGTATATTTGTAAGTATATTTTATGTAGTTAGTATACAAATATCAGTGTACTAGTAGTATACTTGTAAGTGTACTATTGCAATACTCCTTGGGACTAAATTGGCCCACTTTCTAGCATATAAAAGCATACTTTTAAACATACTTTAAGTATAACAGTAGTAAACTTTGAGTACACAACTAGTTTACATTAATATTTTTGCTTGTACTGCAACTATACTAAAAGTGAACTTATAGGTATACTGCTAGTTAACTAGTTAAATACTTGTTTACTTTTTAGTACACTTTAAAGTATAGTCTTAGTAAACTACTATTTTAGTAGTTTTATACTGCAAGTATTCTCGTAAGTTTTAATTAAGTGAACTACATCATACTTTAAGTACTACTATGTCCTATTTAGGTATTAATTTGTATATATTTTGTTATATGAATATCTGAACATACAAACATCAAAAGAAAGAACAGGGTATCTGCTTGTAAACAAATACCTTTTATTCTAGCTTCATGCATTCTTTTTTGTAAACACTTGAATGTGGGTAAGTTTACCGAAAGTAGACCGAAAGTATACTTTCCTATTTTTAGTTTAAAATATGTATACTAATAGCACACTTGAATAAACTTTTTATTTCGTAAAGGAGGTGAAAAGATACTGTACTCTAGTGAAAAAAAAAGTATACTAAGTATACTTGCAGCCAGACTTATTGTCAATATACTTCAAGTGTGTTAATGATTAGTTAACTTGAGGTGTGCTATTTTGGAACAACTATCTTTGTACTAAGTGTATTTTAGTTGTAATTAAATTATACTAAAGTATAACATTAAGTGTATTTAGTGTACTTTTCTATGCTAAATTGGAACAACTTCAAGTACACTTAGTACACTTTAAGTATATGCCTATTTACATGCTTGATTAGTGATATTAAAGTGTACTTTCTTTGTATTACGAGTACATTACAAATTAATTATGAGTGTCTTTGAAACACACACGCAATATACTATAAATGTATTATTTTTGAGTAAAAATATGCAAATTTTTCCTCAATGCTGAATCCCCTTTTTAAGGTCATTACAATTTGAGTTGAATTACTGAAATAAATGAACTTTTCCACAACATTCTAATTTATTGAGATGCACCTGTAACTTCAATGACAGATAGAGACACATTATTAACAATTCAAACAGTGTTTATTTAAACCTCAAATGGTTTTAGCATTGCAAAACATAAAATGCACCATGTTTTTAAATAAAAAGAATGCTGAAAGAAAAAAAAAAAGAAAAAAGAAAAACATTTAGCAACAGCAGCAACACACAAACTTCACTTTTTTGCTGAATTTGATTTAGATTTTTTTTTTGACTTTATTCCGAACGTAAAATAAATAAAATAAAACAAAACAAAAACAATACAACACCATTTTAAATTATACATGTCCAAAAAGTATTGCAATTCTATAAAGAATTGCTCTTTGTTACACTCGCGCGATGGCCGCTCACACATCAGATGTACTTGTGTGAGAATTGCTTTGTTACACTTGCGCCTGATGGCCGCTCACACATCAGATGTACTTGTGTGTGGAAACTCCACAAGAACAGCATTTGTTAACAAAGTAAAAGAGGTAAGGTCAGAGGGCATGTTCATACAGCTTTTTCTTTTTACTACATCAGACTGTAAATCTCCTGTATTAAACCCGTACTACTTAAAAGAATGAACATCATGATTAGCGGTGAGGAATTGTGTCAGTATGTCACGTCAATATTGCTTCCAGTGTATTAGTCAAACACACAGTATACAACAGAAGTGAGTACACCCATATAGCATCACTTTAAATCACATGATACAACACTATTCAAGTTGAAAAGAATAGTATTTATAGTACAGGTCAGGCTAAATTGTAATGTAGACACATGCATTTTCTGTAAAGCTGCTTTGAGAAGTTAGTGTACTCTAAATAAGGGCATAAAGTGCAAAAACAGCAGCAGTGCACTGACCCTAGACTTGGTTGACATCACCTCTTCATCTTCAAAGACAATCAAAACATCCAGTGGGTTCCCTCGTGACATTTCCTCTTCCTCCTCAGCAGCAATGATGGGGACTGCTGCCTTCTGCACCTGCTCAGGCTCCTTTTTCTAAATGCATTAAACAAAAGTGTTAGTATATGTCACAACAAATCATAAAATTAACCCTTGTGTGGAAAGACATTTAAATTTTGATAAATGAAAATAAAGGTGTGAAGGATCCGAGTAGTGTTTATTCAGTAGGACCTGTGCCCATTTAAAACCCTTTAGTACTTTTCAAAAACTTGTAGTAATTTTCACAACATGTCTTCCAGAGCTGTTGGTCAACTGGATTTAATTGGGAAACACTTTCAGGGGTGTTTCAGCTGAATGTTCTTGAGTTTGAATAGACTTTTTATTAATAAAACATCCAAATAAATATAATTTAATAAATATA